CAGGGCCCCATCCCTGGGGGAGCCCCCCACCTGGGCACAGGGACCCCCAGCACCTTCCTCTGGGGCTGCAGGGTGGTGTTGGGCGGGTGTAAGGTGGGCACAGGGGGGTTCTGAGGGTGCAGGGTGGGTTAGGCTGGGGGGAGGTTCACAGCAGGTTCCCCCCTCTCCTGCCCCTCCCCAACATTCCCAGCTCGTGGCTGGGAGCCCCCCTGGAGCAGCTGCCCACCCCGGCACTGACCCTGGACCAGGCCACGCTGCGCGGGAACGCCGAGAGGATGCGGGAACGCTGCCGGGCCCTGGGGCTGCGCCTGCGCCCCCACGTCAAAACACACAAAACCCTGTGAGTGCCACCCCAGAGCCCCCCGGTATCTGCCCAGAATCCCCCCCATAAAAACACACAAAACCCTGTGAGTGCCCCTTCCCCCATCCTCTTCCATCTGGGTCACCTCAGTGTCCCTCAGCCTTCACCCGGTTTTCCCCCCAGCATCTTCCCATCCTCACCCCAAAATCCTTCTCCAGCATCTCCCCATTATCCTAGTATCCCCCACCCTCCCCACCAGCTTCCTCCCCAGTATCCCTGAGTTTTTCCAGCATTTTCCCAGTATCCTTCCCAGCATCTCCCCATCTTCCCCTCAGGCTACCTCGCCTTCCCACCCAGCATCTCCCAGTCCTGCCCCAGTTCTCAGCTTCACCCCCAGCCTCTCCCCATCACCCCTCCAGCATCCTCCCCGCATTCCCCCACAGAATCCCTCCAGCATTCCCCTTATCCCCCCTCAGCATCCCCCAAATCCCCCCTCCCCAGTATCCCTCCACCATTCCTACAGATTCCTCCCAGAATCCCCCCTTAGCAGCCCTCAGCTTCCCTCAGGCTCCTTCCCAGAATCCCTCCCAGCACCCCCTCATCAGCCCCACCTTCTCCCCAGGTATTTCCCCATCCTCCCCAGTATCGCCCCACCATCCTCCCACTATCCTCCATCTTCTCCCTTGCACCAGCTTCTCCCCCAGCATCCCTCCAGCTGCCTCTTCATCCTCCCTCTCACCATCCCCATCCTCACCCCCAGTATTCCCCCATCCTCACCCCCAGTATTCCCCCATCCTCACTCCCAGTATCCCCTCAACCTCACCCCCAGAATCCCCCATCCTCCCTCCCAGTATGACCCCATCCTCCCAGTATCCCCCTTCCTCCCAGTATCCCCCAACTCTCCCTTAACACCCAACATCCCCCCAGCACCTCCCGAGAACCCCTCCCAGCACTCCCCAGCATTCCCCCCTCCTCCTCCTCCTCCTCGTCCCTCTGTCCCGCATTCCCAGGGAAGGCGCGGAGCTGGCGACGGGCGGCACCCGCCGCGGCATCGTGGTGTCCACGCTGGCCGAGGCTCGCTTCTTCGCGGCCGGGGGCTTCGATGACATCCTGTACGCCTTCCCGGTGCCGCGCTGGCGCCTGGCCGAGTGCTCGGCGCTGGCCCAGCGCCTGCAGCAGTTCCAGGTGCTCGTGGACAGCCCCCAGGGGCTGGAGATGCTGCTCCAGAACCCCCTTCCCGGCGGGAAGCGCTGGCTGGTCTGGCTCAAGCTGGACTGTGGGAATGGCCGGGGTAGGTGAGCCCCAAATCCCAGCCAGTTGTGCAGGGAGGGGACATCGTGTGCTGTGGGGTGGGGTGGGATGCTCTGAGAGCCCCCAGACCCAGCATCTCAACCAGGATGGGGCAGTGGAGCCCCCTTAAAAGTCATTAATCAAGGGTGTTCCTCAGGGAACGATGTCCTGTGTCCCTCCAAGCCCCCAGACCCTCCATCCCAACCATGATGGAGCATCTCAACCCCCCCAGAATCGTTATTTAATGGGAAGGAATCCCCATGTCCCTCCAAGGCCTCCAAATCTTCCATCCCAACCACGATGAAGCATCTAAACCCCACCAAAATCCTTATTTAAAGATGCTCCATGGGAAGGAATCCCCATGTCCCTCCAAGAACTGCAAATCCTCCATCAAAACCATGATGGAGCATCTAAACCCTCCCAAAATCGTTATTTAAGGATGGTCCATGGGGAAGGATCCCCATGTCCGTCCAAGCTCCCCAAATCCTCCTTCCCAACCACCATGAAGCATCTAAATCCCCCAAAATCGTAATTTAAGGGTTCTCCACGGGAAGGAATCCCCATGTCCCTCCAAGCCCCCCAAATCCTCCTTCCCAACAACGATGGAGCATCTCAGCACCTCCAAAGTCATTTTTCCCATCCACGCCTGGAAAATACAGCACAAGTGGCCCCGAAGCCCCACCAAGGCACTCCCCAATTCCCACATTCCCACTGCCAGGATGCTGCATGGGGGCGATGTCCCGGTGTCCCTTCACCCATCCCCCAAACCCCAACCCCCCCTGCCACCCTCGTGTCCCCTCCCCAGCCGGGATTCGTCCCACGGATCCCGAGGCGCTGTCCCTGGCTCGGGCCATCGCCCAGGGCTCCCCGGAGCTGGTGACACTGGTGGGGGTCTACGCCCACTGCGGGAACACCTACGGCTGTCGCGACATCCCGGCCATCCAGGCCATCGCCAGGGACACCACGGCCGCCGTGCTGGAATTCGTCACCGCGTGAGTGGCCGGGATGAGCGGGACGGCGGGGATTTGGGGACAGGAAGGGTCAAGGCGGCCGCTGTCCCCTTCCCAAAGCGCGGCTGTTGGCTGTAAATGCGAATCGCCCCCATAAAGGGGCCCTCAAAGCCCCCCCGGGGGGCACCGGGGGGTGGTGGCGGCGCCGCTGGCCTTTGATGTGGCTGCGGCGGCGGGCTGTGACCTGGGGCATTGTCCCCTCCCTCCTCCCTGTCACCCTTTCATCCCGGCGGGGGTCCGCATCCTGCAGGGAATTGCTGCCGGATGGGTCCTGCTGGGAAAAGGGGGAGGGACCACCCCCCACGCCAGGGACAGGGATGTGCCCACCTGGGGACACGTCCTGGGGGTCACCGGCCCGTGGTGGCACCGGGCTGTGGCGGGGAAACCCCAGATCCCACCCTCTCCCCAAAATCTGGGGCTGGTTCCAAGCACAGCTGGAGGTCCAGAACTACCTGGGAGGGGTCCCAGGAGCCACTGGGGGTGCCCTGGCACAGCTGGGGGGGCATTTCTAGCACATCTGGGAGCGGCCTGGCACATCTGGTGGCACCCTCACACACCTGGGGGAGGTCTCCAGCACATCTGGGGGCTCTCAGACATCTGGGAGTGCTTTAAAACATCTGGGGGGTGTCCAGCTCATACGGATGGATCTCTGGCACATCTGGGGGATGGTTGGGCACATCTGGAGGGTGCTCTGCCACATCTGGGGGGGGTCTGGAGGGACACCCACCAGCCCTGAGTCTTTGAGGAGGCACCTGGCCACATCTGGATGTGTCCCCAGCACATCCTGAGTTCTCCCTGGCACGCTGCGGGGAGGCTCTGCCACATCTGGATGGCTCCCTTGAGTGTTTGGGGGTCACACCTGGGGCACCCAGAGGCGCAGGACCCACCTCCTCTCTTGTTCCCGGTGGTGCCCGGGGATGCCATCCCCCACCGCGATCACCCCGAGGGTGCCCCCCTTGTGTCCCCAGGCTGCGGCAGGCGGGGATCCCGTGTCCCCAGGCCACCATCGGCTCCACGCCGTCCTGCAGCCACCCGGTGCCGGAGATGTCGCAGCTCACCGAGCTGCACCCGGGCAATTACCTCTTCTACGGTGAGCTGGGACGAGATTCCCCCCGGGCCGGGAGGGACCCCCCCCCGAGGGTGGCACACGGCCAGGCTGAGCCCCTGTCCCCCGCAGACCTGCAGCAGACCCAGCTGGGCTCGTGCCGGCCCGAGGAGGTGGCGATCCGCGTCCTCACCAGGGTCATCGGCCACTACCCGCACCGCGGGCAGCTGCTGCTGGACTGCGGCTGGGCCGCCCTGAGCCTGCACGGCCGCGACCGGGGACCCCCGGGCTGTGCCGCCATCGAGGGCCACCCCCAGCTCAGGTGACAGCGGCGGGGGGCGCGAGGGAGCGGGGACAGGGGGTGACAGGAGGTGACAGCCGTGCCTCGCGTCCCGGTGACAGCCGCGGGGGGCGCGAGGGAGCGGGGACAGGGGGTGACAGGAGGTGACAACCGTGCCTCGCGTCCCCGCAGGCTGGTGGGGCTGACCCAGGAGCACGGGCAGGTGGAGGCCGTGGATGGGCAGCTGGATTTCGAGCGATTCCCGCTGGGAAGCACCTTGGCGCTCATCCCGTTCCACGTGAGTGTCAGCCCCGCGTGTCCCCTCTGCGCCAGCCCGGTGTCACAGCTCGGTGTCGCCTCCGTCACAGGCCTGTGCCACGGCCGCCATGCACCCCGTGTACTTCGTGCACGCTGCCGGCAAGGTGGTGGAGCTCTGGCGCCCCGTGCGCGGCTGGTAGAGAGGAGAGAGAGGAGATTCCGGGGGGATGCGGCCGCACCCGGACCCTGCACCCACCCTGGAGCAAGGCTCTGCACCCACAACGAGACCCTGCACCCGCTCTGAGTCACTCTGTGCACCATGCTGTGCACCCCAACAGGGTCCCCATATGGGATGCTGCATCCACTCCCACACCCTGCACCCATTCCTACACCCTGCACCCATTCCCACCCTGCACCCATTCCCACCCTGCACCCACTCCACATCCCTCCACCCACTCCAAGATGCTGCACCCACACCACGGCTCAATAAAGCTGCTTCTCCCGCTTCCAGGCGCTTATTCCCCCGGGGCACAGCGTGGGGAGGTGGCGGGAGGAGCGGGTGACGCCGTCCCCTCGGTGCCCTCCATCCCAGTTCGAACCGGACCGGTCCAAGTTGGACCCGTTCCTACGGGCGGGACTCGAACCTGTGACCCCGCGGAGCTGCGAGGGGCAGGACTCCATGCCTGGCCACGCCCCCTAAGCCGCGCCCAGCCAATGGGAGCGCGCCCCGCCCTGCCCTGCCCGGGGGAGCCACGCCCAGCCCAGGCGCGACGGGGCGGCCGAGAGGAGCCGAGCGGGGCCGAACCGGGACCGAGCGGGGCCGAACCGGGACCTAACGGGGCCGAACCGGGACTGAGCGGAGCTGAACGGAGCCGAACCGGGACCCAACGGGGCCGAACCGGGAGCCAGCGGAGCCGAAGCGAGGCCGAGCGCTGCCGGACGGGACCGGAGCGGCTCGGCTCGGCTCGGCTCGGCTCGGCTCGGCCCGGCCCGGCCGGAGCGGGGTCCCGGGCCGGTGGCGGCGATGCGGGCGCTGCCGGTGCCGCTGCTGCTGCTGCTGCTGAGCCCGGTGCGGGCGGGGAGCGGGATGGGGCGGGCCGGGGCTCCGCTGCCCCCGGGGCGCTCCGCTCCGCGCCTTTTGTTGAGGTTTTTTGGGGTTTGGGTCGTTTCGGTTCCGTTCCTTTTTCTTTCATCTTATCCCGTTTTTTTCCTCTTTATTTTCTTTTTATTTTCCTGGTTTATTTATTTTTTTTATTTTCCTTCTTTTATTTTTTCTTTTCTTTTTATTTCCCTCTTTTATTTTTTTAATCTCACTTTCTTTTCCTCTTTGATTTTTTATTTTCCTTTTTAATTCTGTTTAATTTTCCCTGGTTTATTTCATCTTATCCTGTTTTACTTTCCTTATTTTCCTACTTCACTGTTTGCCTTTATTTTCCTTTATTTTCCTTTAATTTTCTTTTTTTCCTTTTTTTCTTTTTTTCCTTTTTTTCTTCCTTATTTTCCTTTTTACCTCTTTTCCTTTTTTTTCCGTTTTTTCCTTTTTTTTTCTTTTTTCCCCTTTAATTTCCTTTAATTTTCTTTTTTTCCTTTTTTTCTTTTTTCCTTTTTTTCTTCCTTTTTTTTCCTTTATTTTTTCCTTTTTTCCCCCTTTTCTCCCCTTTTTTTTCCCTCTTTTTTCCTTTATTTTTTTCCTTCTTTCCCTTTTCCCCCCTTTATTTTCCTTTATTTTCCCCCCTTTTCCCCCTTTTTTCTTTTTTCCCCTTTATTTTCCTTTATTTTTTCCCTTTTTTCCCCTTTTTTTCCCCTCTTTTTTTCTTTTATTTTCCTTTATTTTTTCCTTTTTCCCTCTTTTCTCCCCCTTTTTTACTTTTTTCCCCTCTTTTTTCCTTTATTTTCCTTTATTTTTTCCCCTTTTTTTCCTTTATTTTCCTTTAATTTTCCCCTTTTTTCCTTTTTTTCCCTCTTTTTTCCCCTTTATTTTCCTTTATTTTTCCCCCTTTTTCCCCTTTTTCCCCCTTTATTTTCCTTTACTTCCCGTTCTTTTCCTCCCTCCCCTTTAATTCAGCTCAGCTTTCCCTTCTTTCTCCTCCTTTTCTCCCCGTGATTTCTCCCCCTCCCTTCCCACCTCGGCTCCTTTTATCTCATTTTTATTCACCGTTTATTTCCTTCCCTTTCTACTCTTCCCCTTCGATTCCCCGCTTTCCTTTTCCTCTCATTATTTCCTTTTACTGCTCCTCACCCCCCCGCCCCTTTTCCACGGCCCGGTGGGAATTCGGGAATTCGGGGGAAACTGAGGCAGGACCCCGCTGTGCCCGCAGGTGCCGAGGCGGGGCGGGGGGTGCCCCCCGTGTCCCCGCGGTGTCCCCGAGCCCTGCGACAGCCGCTGCCCACCGTGCGCCCGCAGTGAGTACCCCGAACCCCCCCCCCCCCCAAAAAAAAAACCCCAAAAACCCCAAAACCGCCCCAACCCCGCAGCGCGGAGCCCCGCGGAGGAGGAGCCGGAGGAGCCGTGCCCGCCCTGCCCGCCCTGCAGCCGTGAGTGGCACCGGGACCCCTGTGTGCCTCAGTTTCCCCTTTGTGCCTCAGTTTCCCCTTATTGCTCCCTAATTTCTCAATTTCCCCATGTTGCTCCCTAATTTCACCTTTTCGTGCCTCAGTTTCCCTTTCGTGCCTCAGTTTCCCTATGTCGCTCCCTAATTTCACCTTTTCTTGCCTCAGTTTCCCCTTTGTGCCTCAGTTTCCCTAAGTTGCTCCTTAATTTCTCCTTCTAGTGCCTCAGTTTCCCTTCTGTGCCTCAGTTTCCCCTTTGTGCCTCAGTTTCCCTATGTTGCTCCCTAATTTCACCTTTTTGTGCCTCAGTTTCCCCAAGCTGCTCCTCAGTTTCACCTTTTTGTATCTCAGATTCTCTTGTGTGCCTCAGTTTCCCCGTGTTGTTCCTTAATTTCCCCTCCTAGTGCCTCAGTTTCCCCTGTTGCTCCCTAATTTCACCTTTTTGTGCCCAGTTTCCCTTTTGTGCCTCAGTTTCCCCAAGTTGCTCCTTAATTTCCCCCCTTGTGCCTCAGTTTCCCCTTATTACTCCTCAGTTTCCCCCTTTTTGTGCCTCAGTTTACCTTTTCTGCCTCAGTTTCCCATCCTGCTTAGTTTTCCTCACATTGTGCCTGTTTCCCCACTCTGTCCACAGCTTCCTCCCTTCGTGCCTCAGTTTCCTCTTGTGCTGCCTCAGTTTCCCCTTTCGTGCCTCAGTTTCCCCATGTCCTCCTTTAGGTTCCTCCTGTCGTGCCTCCGTTTCCCTTTTTTTTACCTCATTCCCTCTTTTTGTGCCTCATTCCACCCTTTTGTGCCTCAGTTTCCCTTTGTCACCTCATTCCCTTTTTCTGCCTCAGTTTCCCCCATTTCACCTCATTCCCTTGTGCCTCAGTTTCCCCCATTTTATCCCATTCCCTCTTTTGTGCCTCAGTTTCCCTTTTTCCCCTCATTCCCTCTTGTGCCTCAGTTTCTCCTTTTGTCCTTCATTTCCCTTTTTGTGCCTCAGTTTCCCTTTTTTTACCCCATTCCCTCTCTCTGTGCCTCAGTTTCCCAGTTTCCCCCTCATTCCCCTCACTGTGCCTCAGTTTCCCTTTTCCTCCTCACTGTGCCTCAGTTTCCCCCTTACTTCCCCTAACAGTGCCTCAGTTTCCCTTTTTTTCCCTCATTCCCCTCACTGTGCCTCAGTTTCCCCTTTTCCTCCTCACTGTGCTTCAGTTTCCCTGTTTTCCCCCTCACCGTGCCTCAGTTTCCCTTTTCCCCCTCACACTGCCTCAGTTTCCCTTTTTTCCCTCATTCCCCTCACCGTGCCTCAGTTTCCCTTTCCCCCCTCACCGTGCCTCAGTTTCCCTTTCCCCCCTCACCGTGCCTCAGTTTCCCTTTTCCCCCCTCACCGTGCCTCAGTTTCCCTCCGTGTCCCTCAGGGGGTGCCCGGGGCGCTCTCCCCACACCCGGGGCTCTCACCCCGCTCGCCTCCCCCCCGCCCCTCTCCAGGGGGAAACTGAGGCACGGCCGGCCATGTCCTCACTCCCTTCCCATTTTCTGGGGCTCCCGCAGACGAGGCCACGGCGCCGCTCCCTGAGGGGACCCCGCCGGTGTCGGGGACCCCCCGAGCGACCCCGCCGGCGTCGGGGGCCACCCCCGAGCCCCCCAGGGACATCATCCCCCTGTACTGCGCCCTCCTGGCCGGCCTCGTCGTGGGGCTCGTGGCCTACGTGGCCTTCAAGTGGTGAGTGAGGGGTGCCGGGGGCCGGGGCGCTCCGGGGACCCCCGGTGAGCGCCGCCGTCCCCGCAGCTGGGACACCTGCAGGAAGAAGCGGCAGCTGGACAAGGCGCGGGACGCGGGGGACGCGGAGAAGCTGCGGGGGGACAGCGGCGTGTGCCCGGAGAGCGCCGGCCTGGAGCCGCCTCAGCCCCGTGAGCGCCCCGGGCCGCCCTGAGGGGACCGGCCTGAGGGGATTGGGGGGACAGCCGGCCCTGAGGGGATTGGGGACAGCCGGCCCTGAGGGGACCGGCCTGAGGGGATTGGGGACACCCGGATCTGGGGGGTTTGGGGACACCCGGATCTGCGGGACTGGGGGGACACTCGGCCCTGAGGGGACCGGCCTGAGGGGATTGGGGACACCCGGATCTGTGGGATTGGGGGGGACACTCGGCCCTGGGGGGTTTGGGGACACCCGGATCTCAGGGAGTGTGGGGACAGCCAGCCCTGAGAGGATTGGGGACACCCAGATATGGGGGATTGGGGGGACACTCGACCCTGAGGGGACCGGTCTGGGGATTGGGGGGACAGCCAGCCCTGAGGGGATTGGGGACACCCGGCCCTGGGGGGTTTGGGGACACCCAGATCTCGGGGAGTGTGGGGACAGCTGGCCCTGAGGGGGTGGGATCATCGAGCACTTGGACGAGGTCGGGGAGTCCCCAGATGGGATTGGGGAGCACCTGGAAGGGGTCGGGGGACTCGGGACGGTGTTGGGGAGCATCCAGAGGGGTTGGGAAGCCCCCAAATGGGATCAAGGAGCACTTGGATGGGGTCGGGAAGCCCCCAGTGGGATCGGGGAGCACCTGCACGGCTCGGGGGTCCCCTACACCTCCCGGGGGGGGGGTCGGGAGCCGCCCCCGTCCCTCGGTCCGTCTGTCCCGGGCTGGAATTCCCGGTGCTGACCCCGTCCCTCCCCGCAGCGCCCCCCGAGGGTCCCTCCCTGCTCCCGGGGTCCCCGCGGCGCCAGGAGGAGCCGGGAGAGCTGGAGCGGCTCCTGGAGCTGGGAGCGCCCGGCCCCGCGGGGACACCGGGGGACGTCACCTCCGCCGTGTGACACCCCCGGCGACCCCGGGGCCGATCCCGGCGCTGCTCCCGCTTCCCGATGGATTCCTGGGGAATTTTTTTGTACTTTTTTAGGGGTTCTGGGGGGGTGGGATGGGGACCTTTGGTGGCTGGTGCCCGGGTGGGGGCATTAAACGTGTCACTGGGTGCCACCAGGGTTTGTGTCCTCAGGTGTCTGTGTGTCCGTGCGTGTTCCTGGGATGTGTCCCAAGTGTCGCCAGGTGCCTGCTTGTCCCCAAGTGTCCATGAGATGTGTCCCTTCAGGTGTCCAAGTATCCCCAGGTGTCCCCTCAGGTGTCCCTTTGTCCCTGGAATGTGCCCCCAGCTGTCCATGAGTCCCCTCGGGTGTCTGCGTGTCCCTAGGACGTACCCCACATGTCCCTAGGTGTCCCTTTGTCCCCAGGATGTGTCCCTGCATCCCTGGGATGTGACGGCTCAGATGTCCGGGTGTGTCCCCAGGTGTCCCCTATGGCCATGTCCCAAGGATGGGACCCCTCAGGCGTCCCTGTGTCCCTGGGATTCGTGTCCTTGGGCATCCACGTGTCACCAGGACGTGTCCCGGGGTGTCCGTGTGGAGGAGGGGACACCCTAAAGACCCCAAGGCAGGTGGCACCGGGGACAGAAAAAGCCGTTTTTAACCCAAAATGCTCCCAGGTCACCCCAAACTTCCCTTCCCAGGGGGTCCAGATTCCCAGGAATGCTGAGGGTGACAGGAGGTCCCCAAGGAAGAGGGGACATCCCAAGCCAGGTCCCCCTCGTGGCCCTGCCCGGCGTCGATTTTGGGATTTGGGGTTTGTGTTGTTTTTTTGTTGGTTTTTTTTTTCTTTTGATTTTTTATTTTTTTCTCTTTTTTTTCTTTTTTTTTTTTTTTTTTTTTTTTTTTTTTTACATAAAAAGTTCCGTAAAAATTGGATAAAGTAAAATGCTCAAAGCAGTAAAATCAATCTTATCAACATGGCCAGAAATCCGCAGTATTTACAGGGAAACGGAGGAAACCTCGCAGAACCAAAAAGGGAAAAAAACCAAGGAAACAACCAAAAAAAAAAAAAAAATCAAAAAAAAAAAAATTCTGGGAATAACCCCCGTGGGATCGACACGTTTGGGGCTGAAAGCAACGGGGAAAAAAAGCAAATTCTTATCAATATATTCACATATAGGTTAAAATATAATACAGAGCTTGGGAGCAGCGCCGCCGGAGCCGGGCTTGGGAAAGCCTGGATCACCAAAAGCAGGCTTGGGAAAGCCCGGCTCATCCTCAGCGACCGAGTTTGTTTTCCTTAAAAAAACCAAAAATCCATCGTCATAATAATAATAATAATTATAATAATAATAATAATAATAATAAATTCACAGGTTGGTGGCTCGGGAGGGCGAATCCCAGCGGGAATCCCGAGGCCCGGGGGTTATTCCAGGGGCTATTCCAGCTCCGTGTCCTCTTTGGGCTTGTAGAGGATCCCGAATTTCTGCATGTACTTCTTGATGTACTCCTTGGTTTTGTGTTTGACGTTCTCGTTGCACTCCAGGTCCTCGGGGTTCTTGCAGTACTTGAGCTCCTTGTTCATCACGCCGTGGGTCAGCTGCGGGGAGGATGGGAATGCTGGAATCGCTCCTGGAATTCCCACCGAGCCCAGGCCTGGCCACTCCCCACCCAGGCTTCCCAAAACACTTCCCAAATACTTCCTCTTCCTCCAAAATGTTCCCTGAGCCACTGTCATATTAACCCCAAATAGTCCCTAAATATTTGGGATTGTTCCCTCAAGATCTGCTGCTCTTTTCCAAACATTCCCAAGCTATTTTCCTCTTATTCCCCAAATATTCACTGTTATTTCCAGATATATTATCCCCCAAATGTTCCCCAAGCTATATTATTCCCCAAATGTTCCCCAAATATTCCCTAAATATTTGGGATTGTTCCCTCAAGATCTGCTGCTCTTTTCCAAACATTCCCAAGCTATTTTCCTCTTATTCCCCAAATATTCACTGTTATTTCCAGATATTACCCAAGCTATATTATTCCCCAAATATTCCCCAAATATTTGGGATTGTTCCCTCAAGATCTGCTGCTCTTTTCCAAACATTCCCAAGCTATTTTCCTCTTATTCCCCAAATATTCACTGTTATTTCCAGATATTACCCAAGCTATATTATTCCCCAAGTATCTCCCAAATATTCCCTAAATATTTGGGATTGTTCCCTCAATATCTGCTGTTCTTTTCCAAACATTCCCAAGCTATTTTCTTCTTATTCCACAAATATTCCCCCTCTGATTTCCAGATACTGCCCAAGCTACTGTTATATTCTTCCCCATATATTTCCCAAATATTTCTCAAATATTCTCCAAATGTTCCTCAAATATTTCCCAAATGTTCCCCAAATGCTCCCCAAACATTCCCAAATATTCCTCAAATACTCGCCAAATATTCCCTAAATATTTGGGATTGTTCCCTCAAGATCTGCTGTTCTTTTCCAAACATTCCCAAGCTATTTTCCTATTACTCCCCAAATATTTCCTGTTCTTCCCCAAATATTACTCCCTAAATGATTTTTCTATTACATCCCAAATATTCCCCAAATAATTCCTAATATTCAATTTGCTATTATTTCCCAAATATTCCCTAAATATTCATTATTGTTGTGCCAACATATACAATCATTCCCCAAATATTCCCTAAGTTATTCTCCTGTTATTGCCCAGATATTCCCTAAATATTTTCTATTATTCCCCAAATAGCCCATAAATATTTCCTATTATTCCTCCATATTACTTATCCATTATTCCCTGATTATTCCCTATTATTGCCCAAATATTCCCTGTTATTCCCCAAATATTCCCTGAGCTGCTGTCATATTATTGCCCAAATCTGTCCTGTTATTCCCCAAATATTTCCTACTGATCTCCCAATATCCCCCCACCATTTCTCCTTCCCTTCCCTCATCCTCCAAGGAGCTGGAGGCAGCTGGAATGACACAATCCCATTTCCCGGGGCCACCCCTTGGTCCCCATGTCCCCATACCCCACTGTCCCTGTACCTCCCATGTCCTCATGTCCCACATTCCTGTGTCCCTAGAGCCACCGTATCCCTGTGGCCCCAAATCTCTGTGTCCTGTACTTCCCATGTCCTTGTGTCCCTATGCTCCTGCACCACATTCCCATGTCCCACATCCCTGTGTCCTCATGTCCCTTTATCCCCGTGTCCCCATGTCCCTGCACCCTCCACGTTCCCATGTCCCATCTCCCTATGTCCCTTTATCCCTGTGTCCCCATGTCCCTGTACCCTGCACTCTCCATGTCCCTGTACCCCATGTCCCTGTGTCCTCATTTCAGCATCCCCGTGTCCCCATGTCCCTATGCTCCCATGTCCCACATCCCCATACCCACTTGTCCCTGTGTCCCCACATTCCTGTGTCCCCATGTTCCTGTGTCCATGTTTCCATGTCCCACATCCCCATGTTCCCGTACCCACTTGTCCCTGTGTCCCCACATTCCTGTGTCCCCATGTTCCTGTATCCATGCTCCCAAGTCCCACATCCCCTTGTCCCTGTATCCTCCATGTCTCCACATCCTTTGTCCCCATGCCCTGTGTCCATGTTCCTGTGTCCATGTTTCCATGTCCCACATCCCCATGTTCCCGTACCCACTTGTCCCTGTGTCCCCACATTCCTGTGTCCCCATGTTCCTGTGTCCATGTTTCCATGTCCCACATCCCCATGTTCCCGTACCCACTTGTCCCTGTGTCCCCACATTCCTGTGTCCCCATGTTCCTGTGTCCATGTTTCCATGTCCCACATCCCCATGTTCCTGTATCCTCCATGTCTCCACATCCTTTGTCCCCGTGCCCTGTGTGTGACCACGTCCCTGTGTCTCTGTATCCATGTCCCCATGTTCCCATATTCCTCATGTTCCCAAGCCCTTGTATGCCATGTCCCTGTACCCTCCACATCCCGCGTTCCTACATCCATGTGTCCCTGTACCCGCCATGTCCCGCCATCCCCGTGTCCCCATGTTCCTGTACCCGCCATGTCCCCCCATCCCCATGTCCCCCACATTCCCACATTCCCACCTTGCGTGCCAGGTGTTTGAAGTCCTCGGTGGTGGTGATCCGGCCCACCTTGCAGTCGGGTTTCCGGTAGGGATTGAGGCACTGCACGATGAACTGGGACATCTGCGGGACACAGCGCTGGGTCCAGCTCCCTGCTGCCACCATCCCATCCCATCCCATCCCATCCCATCCCATCCCATCCCATCCCATCCCATCCCATCCCATCCCATCTACAGCCCCATCTCATCTCACCCAGGACTTTCTGCTGTTCCTGCCTGGAGCTGCTCCTGGCGCTGGGAACCATTGGGATTTGGGATTCCAGCTCCTGTCCCCAGGCTGATCCCATCCCATCCCATCCCATCCCACCCCATCCCACCCCATCCCATCTACAGCCCCATCCCACCCCACCCCATCCCATCCCATCCCACCCCATTCCCAGGGTGGGATCCCTCACCTCTTTCCTGAACACCTCCTTGCTCTTCTTGGCCAGCTCGCTGGACGTGTCGGCTTCCGCCGTCTTGGGCTTCTTGGAAGACTGGAGAGGGGAACACAGGGATGTCAGCGCTTCCCCGGTCCCGCCTTGGGGACGGCGCTCCTGTCCCACAGCCGGGTGGGCAGCACACCTTCCAGCCCATTCCCAGGGACATTCCCAGCCCAATGCCAGCACACTCTCCACTCCAATCCACATCTTCCCAGCCTGATCCCAATGAGTTTCTCAGCCCAATTCTGAGGAGCTTCCAGGCTCTTCCAGCACTCTCCTCAGCCCATTCCCAACACCTTTCCCAGCCCAAGGCCAGCACATTTCCCAGCCTGATCCAGGTACAATTCCCAGACAAATGCCAGCATGCTGCCACCCCAAACCAGGGATTCCCATGAACTTCCCTGCCCTCTCCTGGTGCTCTTCCCAACCTCATCTCAGCAAACTTCCCCACCCAGCCCTTGTGCATTCCCCAGTTCAATCCTGGTGAACTTTCAGTTGAGCTTCCCAGTTCATCCCAGTAAACTTCCAGCCCAACTTCCCAGT